AACCTGGCAGTACTCAGTCCACAAGCCAATCATGAAACATTTTTCTTTTTATAAAGATTATTGTACCATGATTTGTTTGGCACACAGTCTGTCCTCAGACAAGTGTGAAATATATCGTTAGTTGATGTGTCATTTCAGTCGAGAACTGCATGTGAGATAAGTTCAACATATGAACAGTGAATGCAGGTGTGAAAACGCTAATCGACCGGTGTGTGACGTCAACTGTTTCGTCAGGAATCCTGCCAAAGGCTGTTGGTTCACGCGACCGTTACTTGGACAATCCAATGCAGTTGAAGTTCCTTGAGGAATCCTCAACCGGACCCTTCGGTTAACCAAAGCCTGGTGCGCAAGGAAGCATGGGAAGTGGTGTGTCAAAACCGCAATCCGTTTGGGACCGGTGTCTGGTTCCTCGAATCATACGCCATTTGGACGGGGTCAAACGTCCAAGGTGCCCAATACACCTCGATGCCTAATCGAGCCGGTGATCATCGCCAGGAATTTGTGTGTGGTTCGTACACCTTCTCATGGTTGGCTTGGAATCAGGATTTTTGGCCAACTCCCCTCGGCGAACTACCAGTAGGCCACCAACCCGGTTATAGCCACGGATGTCGGCTATTTGTCCTCTCACTTTGATGATGGAAAAACATCTCCGCAACACGAAAAGGCAGTGAATAGGACTTCCCCAACATAGGCTTTTCGAGACACTTGGTCGTATGGGAGCATTTGGCGAGGTGCAAAGGGGGGGGGGTAACCAGCCGCAACCCTAGAGACCCACCCCCGACCATACTTAGGCTTTTGAACTACCAGCTGTCGATCATGACCGATAGATAGTCTCAGAAGTAAGTTAGCCTGACCAACTTTGGTTATGTCACTATTTGTGCACAGGCTCCAAAACGCGTGGTTGGATGCGGGCCGTGTCGATACATGTGTTCTACAGACTTTCCCATGTTAGTGATACGTTCAAACGCGCAAGCTTACAGTCCATTCTGATGCATTTGATACTATCCACTTCAATCTTGATGGTACCGCATTCGTTCTGCGAGCAAAAAATACTTCACACACCAACCCTCAGATCAGATGGAATGAATAGGAGAGAGAGGGAAAAACTGATGAGTAATGGGAATCAAAGATAGAAATTACAATTTCAATTGTAATTTCAATTGAGTAATGGAGGATTTGATTTGTTTCTATAATGTATACTCAAAGTGAGCAACGATCTGTTCAGCTGCCCCTGGGTGGACGAGTGGGTTTTATGCTTGCGTTCCACCTGTGAGGTCCTGGGTTCGATCCCCAGTCGTGC